ATGAGCTAAACATTTTTATATAGTTCTGCTAAATTAAGTTGAAATGTTTCCTCCCCAGTGGCAGCACAGTGGCGTGATGGTTAGCCCTGCTACTTCACAGCAGGATGGATTCAAGCTTAACAGTTCACTGGGGTCTTTGTCCCTGTGCCTGCGTGGGTTTCCTCTGGGTCCTGCAGGTTAGGTTGATTCGTGACTCTAAATTGCCCATAAGGTGTGATTATGAGTGTGTCTTGCTGTCTGTCTCTCTGTGTGTGATAGACTGGTGACCTGTACAAGGTGTACACTGGTTCTCACTCAGTGTCAGCTGGGGTCACCTCCAGCCTCTCTGTGACTCTCTATAGTGGTAATAATAATAGATGGATGGATGTTTTGTCTCATGCGAGACACCTACTCTAGATAGAGAAACATATAAATATGCAAAAAAAAAATGCCATGAGACAGAATTAATGTGGATCATCACAATGTTCCTGACCTGACATCCTTAATGCGATGGACTGAACACATTTAATACATTGGACTAGCACTAGTACACCCAGAGTCATCAGGCTTTATTTTCCATTAGCTCAAACACAGTATGATATGAGAGCTTCACTCACGTGCTATCAAGAGGAAGCAGGTGATTATTCTGACACACATTCATTTTTCAAATAAAGTGATTTCACAAAGTATATCTTATCTAGAAAAAAGTGAGGTGTGGTTATGATAAAACTGGAAAATGCATTCTGAGTCTCATTTCAACCAAACCAACATCTGAATTCTGTCAATTAGGAATGAGAGAGGCTGTCGCTCCGCCTACTGCCCAGGCTTTTCTGTAGAAATCGGGATTGATAATCAGTGTGGCATTTCCTGAAGTATGTGTGCAATGCTTTTGCAAGATGAAGCACACCCAGAGTCATCAGGCTCGCAGTGTGTTTTCTGGCACTGGTCCTGTGTAAGTTCAGGATGGGTTGTTTACAACATCTGATCTAGCTTCCATTTTCCCAAAGCCACCTGCTACTGTTGTGTTTGTTGTTGTGATAATATTGCAGTCCATATTTTAAGATCATCAGTGTTCAGAGTCATTTGTCAGCTGGACGTCACTCACATTCTCATGTGGCTCACAAAAGTTGGTTTAATAGTGAGCTTTGTCAGATGCAGCGGTCACCAAGGCCACTGTATATGTTGTATTTAACAATAAGACACATGTGGGAGTGTGAAAATCTTCTGAGTGAATGAATGCATGATTTAATAATATATGCATGTCCATCTAGTCCATGAAGAAATAGAAACAAAGAGAGAATATGAATAAAAACTACAGTGCCTTGCGAAAGTATTCGGCCCCCTTGAACTTTGTGACCTTTTGCCACATTTCAGGCTTCAAACATAAAGATATAAAACTGTAATTTTTTGTGAAGAATCAACAACAAGTGGGACACAATCATGAAGTGGAACGAAATTTATTGGATATTTCAAACGTTTTTAACAAATAAAAAACTGAAAAATTGGGCGTGAAAAATTATTCAGCCCCTTTACTTTCAGTGCAGCAAACTCTCTCCAGAAGTTCAGTGAGGATCTCTGAATGATCCAATGTTGACCTAAATGACTAATGATGATAAATAGAATCCACCTGTGTGTAATCAAGTCTCCGTATAAATGCACCTGCACTGTGATAGTCTCAGAGGTCCGTTTAAAGCGCAGAGAGCATCATGAAGAACAAGGAACACACCAGGCAGGTCCGAGATACTGTTGTGGAGAAGTTTAAAGCCGGATTTGGATACAAAAAGATTTCCCAAGCTTTAAACATCCCAAGGAGCACTGTGCAAGCGATAATATTGAAATGGAAGGAGTATCAGACCACTGCAAATCTACCAAGACCTGGCCGTCCCTCTAAACTTTCAGCTCATACAAGGAGAAGACTGATCAGAGATGCAGCCAAGAGGCCCATGATCACTCTGGATGAACTGCAGAGATCTACAGCTGAGGTGGGAGACTCTGTCCATAGGACAACAATCAGTTGTATACTGCACAAATCTGGCCTTTATGGAAGAGTGGCAAGAAGAAAGCCATTTCTTAAAGATATCCATAAAAAGTGTCGTTTAAAGTTTGCCACAAGCCACCTGGGAGACACACCACACATGTGGAAGAAGGTGCTCTGGTCAGATGAAACCAAAATCGAACTTTTTGGCAACAATGCAAAACGTTATGTTTGGCGTAAAAGCAACACAGCTCATCACCCTGAACACACCATCCCCACTGTCAAACATGGTGGTGGCAGCATCCTGGTTTGGGCCTGCTTTTCTTCAGCAGGGGCAGGGAAGATGGTTAAAATTGATGGGAAGATGGATGGAGCCAAATACAGGACCATTCTGGAAGGAAACCTGATGGAGTCTGCAAAAGACCTGAGACTGGGACGGAGCTTTGTCTTCCAACAAGACAATGATCCAAAACCTAAAGCAAAATCTACAATGGAATGGTTCACAAATACACATATCCAGGTGTTAGAATGGCCAAGTCAAAGTCCAGACCTGAATCCAATCGAGAATCTGTGGAACGAACTGAAAACTGCTGTTCACAAACGCTCTCCATCCAACCTCACTGAGCTTGAGCTGTTTTGCAAGGAGGAATGGGCAAAAATTTCAGTCTCTCGATGTGCAAAACTGATAGAGACATACCCCAAGCGACTTACAGCTGTAATCGCAGCAAAAGGTGGCGCTACAAAGTATTAACTTAAGGGGGCTGAATAATTTTGCACGCCCAATTTTTCAGTTTTTTTATTTATTAAAAAAGTTTGAAATATCCAATAAATTTCGTTCCACTTTATGATTGTGTCCCACTTGTTGTTGATTCTTCACAAAAAATTACAGTTTTATATCTTTATGTTTGAAGCCTGAAATGTGGCAAAAGGTCGCAAAGTTCAAGGGAGCCGAATACTTTCGCAAGGCACTGTAATTTCTGTACCATATTACCACTTTGCACTGTGAGCACAATAAAATTAGAGTAAGCATAATATTTAACGGGATCAGGAAATACTAATACTGGAGCAAAACTTGAGTAATCAGTCTGACTCACAACATGCTGATATGAAACCTGCATGTTCAGCATTTTTGTTTTTTTGTGAAACCTCCTCTCTAATAACTGTGAACATGTGGTTCATGTTGTGAAACTGACAAATAGCGGATGGAATGTTATGCACCGCTGGGTTTTTTTCTTTATGCAATGTAACATAACAAAAAACATAAGCCAAGATGGTTGTGTGAAGTCTGGCATTAAGGGAGGACAGCAAAACAATTAATGACATCAGACAATGTAGTTAAAGTGAAGATGGGAGGAAAAACCAACCAAGTGTCTCAGTAAGGTGCTGAGCCACCATGTGCCACCAGAACAGCTTCAGTGCACCTTGGTATTGACTCGTCAAGCCTCTGGACTGTACTGGAGGGAAGAACTCCAGTTTTCCATTCCAGTATCGCTCCAAACTCTTCTATAGGTGTTCAGCTGTGTTGAGATCTGGATACTGTGAAGGCCATAGTATACAATTCACATCATTTTCATACTCATCAAACCATTCAGTGACCCCTTGTGCCCAGTGTGCACTGTCATCCTGGAAGAGACCACTCCCTTCTGGATAGATATGTGTCATCATAGGATAAAGGTGATAACACAGATCAGCTTTGTATTGACCTGCAGTGACCCTTCTCTCTAAAGGGACAAGTGGACCCAAACCCTGCAAAAGGCCCCCAACAGCATAACAGAGCCACCGGATCCCTGCACTGTCGGGGTGAGCTGGGTCTTGTAGGAAGCAAGCCCCTGGCCGGCAAACCCAGAGAAATGTGTTTTAGGTGTACACAAGTGTGTACCAAAGCTGGACAGAGCGGGGGATATGGGGTGGGAACCATGTGAGATTTGCTGGAACATATGTGAAGCTTAGTTATGGAATCAGTTACTTGACATGGAAGAGGTTGACAAAAATGACTTATTTGGGATAGACAATAATAATACAGAAACTTAGTTTTATTTTATTTTCTATTTTCCTTTTTACTTGGAGCTGTGTAATACTTTTTTAAAGTAAAATATAAACATATGAATCTTGCAAATATGGACGACGCAGAGTGACTGAGTTGGTTGTTCTCATATGAACTATTAAAATTTGCTGGTTACGTGGAAAAAGCCAGGGAGGAGACAAAAAAAGCTCCGTGCTTGTTGTGACTAACATTTAGAATGATGGAAGCTGTTTCCCCTTATTTCTTGTCGTTCTTGTTTTGTATATGATACTGGAAGATGTGCACTCTGTTAAAATAACAGCGTCTTTTAACCCCATGTGGGAGCTGTCTGGTATGACACAGAAATAAAATAAAACTGACTATAACATTTATCCTTTATCACCATTTATCTGTATTATTGTGAATTCCTGGTTCTAAAAGGATTTTCAAATTTTGAGAACGTTATTGTAATGAACCCCAAACAGACCAAAGGGGGGCGGCAGTCTACAGCTAAACTCCCCCCTGAAACTCCCTCAGACCCTCTGGGAGAAGCCGGTTGGTTGTTGGTTGGTTTTGTTTTTTTACTTATTCACCAGCCCAGTCTCTAACCATATTCACTACTATGCTAACATCATTTATATCTGTACATGTCTAATCTGTGCCATTAGTGAAACTGTATTTATAAGGAGCATAAATAGGAAAAATAAATAAATAATAACAATAATAACTTTAATTGCACCAAAATGCTTTATTTTCCATTAGCTCAAACACAGTATGATATGAGAGCTTCACTCACGTGCTATCAAGAGGAAGCAGGTGATTATTCTGACACACATTCATTTTTCAAATAAAGTGATTTCACAAAGTATATCTTATCTAGAAAAAAGTGAGGTGTGGTTATGATAAAACTGGAAAATGCATTCTGAGTCTCATTTCAACCAAACCAACATCTGAATTCTGTCAATTAGGAATGAGAGAGGCTGTTGCTCCGCCTACCGCCCAGGCCTTTCTGCAGAAATCGGGATTTATAATCAGTGTGGCATTTCCTGAAGAATGTGTGCAATGCTTTTGCAAGATGAAGTGAAGTCAGGTTTTATCCTCCAGGATTACATAAAACATATTGTAATTACTGTTCCTAATTCGTGAACTGTTTTCTCATCTAAGATGGCAGTGGTAAGTTTTTTTTATATGTCCACTGTATATGGTATTTAAAATCAAAATCTATATCACTGCACTACAACCTTGACAATGTATGTAGATCTTTCTATCCTGAAAATGAAATACAATCTCTAGTTTCCATAGATTAAGAACGGGATTTACTGGAAGGCACAAAAAGAGGAACCTAAAAGGGAAATAAATGAAAGAGGACAGATTTCATGGCAGCATTCTGGTAAAACTGTGCAGCTGTTTCACAAGCTAATGCAGCTTTTTTTTTTTTACCTGCTAAGACTTCAGCTCAAGAAGCAGATGCAAAGATGAGTGCTGATGGCAAAGGAATGATAGACATGGACATCGAAGGCAGTGGGTTTGGCTATAAGCAGCGTCTGCCAGATAGCAGCAACATCCGCTATTCAGGTAATTCAATGAGACTTCATTTTAAGGATTGGATTGGATGAAATGGCAATAAATACCATGATGAAACAAACAAAACTCTTCAGCCATCAGTAACCTTCAGCAGAGCTTTTAGGCATTTTTCAGCTCATTGATTTGGTTTTGCAGGTGTTTTAGTCAGCCTCATAGCTGCCCCCAATAGAATATGAAACTTTTAAAATGACTGATGACCACTCTCCAATATATTTTTTATAATACTTTACAGGAATTAAATAGCTTCCTACCCAATCACACAGCAAAAGCCACTTTTGTATTTGATGGAAAAAAAGCTCCTCATACACATGGTTCCAGATAAATGCTAATGTCAGTTCAATGTGTAAAGAGGTAAGTGGTTGATAGCATGTTTGTCATAAAACTTTATATAGAAAACACGATGCTGCTGCATTTGTTCCACTACTCCCAAGTGACCAAAAGAACCAATCAATCAATTACTACTGTTTTAATCCAGTTGTTTTACTGTGCAATTTTATATTTCTAAAATAACACTTAACTAGTCAGTACTTTTTCATGAAATGAATATTTTATGTAGTATTTTGTCATACTACTCAGTACCAGTATAAATGATCACTTTGTCAATTTTAAGTATGTGCTTCTATTTTGACTCTTAGTGCATGTGTTGAGAAACAGCCCTTACAGGCTTGCTACAGTTTGCTTTGCGGTCCTGTGTGTCGTCCTGGTCGCTGTTGCCATAGGTCAGAGTGTCCACTGTGAGTCTACCCTTTTTTTTCTGTGTCAAGTAGTCATGTGCGCTAAAAAGTTGCCTAATGTCAAGTTACAATCATTGATTCACATCACATTATCTTTTCTTTCTGGCAGACCGAAAAGTAGAGCAAGAACATCAGAACAACCTACAAGCCATGAATAAAGAGAAAGAGATCCTACAGCAGAATCTGGAGACACTACAAAAAGAGAAGAATGATCTCGAAACCACCCGTAGTCAGTTACGGCAAAATTATGATTACTTATCTAAAAAGAAGGACCAAATACAGACCAATAATGATTTACTGACTAGAGAAACAGCCAACCTTAAAAGCCAGTTACAGGCCAGTAAGGCTACTTTTGACAGTAAGATTAAACAGCTACAAGACAGTAGGGACCTGCTGCAGACTAATAACAACGCCCTGACTACAGCCAAAAACTTGTTACAAAAACAATATGATTCAGTGGTCAAACGCAGGAATGAGCTACAGGCCAGTTATGACTCAGTGACCAAAGACAGGAACAATTTACAGAACAAATTAAATAATGTAACCAGGGCAAAAGAACACCTGCAGATTAGTTACAACACCTTGATTAAGGACATTGAACATTTGCAGGACAGATTCAACTTCTCTTCCAGTGAGAAAGACAAGTTAGCGAGCAGTCACCACAACCTGACAATAGACAGGGGCATTCTGCAGGCCAAATACAACTTACTTGTAAATGCAACAGATGAGTTGCAGGTTTCCTATACTTCCTTGCTTAAGGAAAAACAAGACCTTGAAAGCAACTGCAACAATGTGACTGTGGTGAGGGATCTGCTGAAGGTGAAAAATGGCAACCTGAGTGCTGAGAGAGACCAGCTGCAGAAAGAAGTGGAGAGACTGAATGCAACAATTACAGGTACATAGAGGAAAACTGGCAAAAAAGTACAAATGACATTTTTGTTATTATTGCAAAATGTAAAAAAAAAGAAAGTAAAGAAACTGAAAAAGATTGTCATAATTATGACAATCATTTTTCCATGTCAGAAACAGCTGGAGGCCATGTAATGAAAAACTAACCCAAAGTTCTTTTTACCACAGGAAATCACCAAACATCACTTTAAAATCTGTTGCAACTCAGTGCTTGTAATGGCTTTTGTCTTCGTGCTTGGTTATTGATCAATGGATATTTTATCTGTACAGCAAAGACGTGTCCTGCTGGCTGGAAGAAGTTTCAGTACAGCTGCTACTTCACTTCTGTTGCCAAGAAAACCTGGAGTCAGAGCAGAGAACATTGTCAAAGTAATGGAGCAGACTTGGCAATAATAGAAAGCCAAGAGGAAATGGTATGTCACCTTACAAACCTGCACACTAAAAATACAATGAACCAGCTTTTTGGGTGCATTTTATTTAGTTAAAGCTGCACTGATTTGGGTTTGGGTCCAAAAATCAAACAGACAAAATACATTAGATGACTGCTGACCACTTTTCAAAACATATAATAGTTTGTTATTCCTCACATTGTAGAATGTGTTTTTATCCCGTGTTTGTATCTTATGAATAACCAAATGAATTAAATGAAAACCAACTGCTTTACATAAAATGTATGCTAATGGAACCTGTAATTAAAGCTGCATTAATTCATTGATTTTTGGCCACTTGATAGCAGTGGGGTTAGATGTAAAAACAACAGTGACATAGCACTGAGTTTGTATGTCTTAATTGTTTGGATAGCACATTAGCATCTATTTGTGTCTTTGGCCACATGAAGCTCAGTGTTTACTCTCCTTTTAGCTCTGTTTTTGGTCTCGACCAATCTTAAGGGAAATGTCTGCTAAAATCTCCACTAGATCCATCAGTCAGGTGCTACTGTAGATTCACTGACAATTTTATCTTTTGTTACCATAAAAATGTTCATTCTATTATTTCAATGTTTCATAGACCTTCATCAATGGTTTGTATAAAAGTGACAAAGAAGTCTGGATTGGATTGACCGATGAAGGAATAGAAGGGCACTGGAAGTGGGTGGATGGAACACCAATGACCACAGCGTAAGAAACTAGAGTCTGTTTATATCCAAAATTAAAACTCTGGCAAGTGTACTGGACACAGCAGTCCATCTGTTTTGTCTGCTTGCCTTGCAGGTACTGGGGTAAAGGCCAGCCCAACAGCTTTGATGGGAGGAACCAGGACTGTGTGGAGTTCTGGCACCGTGTGTCAGGGACTGGCGACTGGAATGATGAGAACTGCAATGTAGAGCAAAACTGGATCTGTGAAAAGTAGTCTTCCTGTGCAGGAAGTGCCAGAGTTTTGATTCAACCTTTTGGCCACTGTCTGGCAGGAATGAGCACCAAAATGTAAATTACAGATCGCTGTCAATAATAGCAATATGTATAACACACCGTCTGCTTAAAAATTAATGCTATGTGACCATTTTACACACATTGATATATAGCATTGCTAACAGCTAGAGCCTGAAATTGTGATGAATCATGTATTATGAGGTTATATTTAACAAATGGCCCAGCTGGTCCTGGAACATATACAGGTTGGTGTGGGTTGTTTGGAGCAAAATGTCTTGGTAATGTGGGACCAGCTTGGGTCAAATGTTCTGAGGTTTCCAGAGACTATAAAAGCAGTTCTGTCAGTGTGATATCTAGTTTCCAGCTTCGTGATCAGACATCCACCTTCTGTTATAGAGAACAAGGCCTGCTTTTCAGTTTTCCCATATGTAGAAAAAGACTCTTCTAGATTTGGCCTTGCTGCAGTGATTAGTTGATTGATTGAGAAATTCATGTATTTCCTAAATTGTTAGTGTTGGTTATTTTGTACTCAGCTTCTTGTTTGTTCAGGAGAGCACTAGCACGCACAGTGGTTCATATTAATTCATGTAACATGACACCAGCAATAAAAATATTATATTATTATTTGACTCTACTCTATTGTTGTGCTTACATCCATCCATCCATCATCTATACTGCTTATTCCTGAATAGGGGAGCTGGAGTCTATCCTGGCAGATATTGGGCAAGAGGTGGGGTCCACCCTGGACAGGTCTCCAGTTTATCACAGGGCTGACATGTAGACAAACAACCACACAAAATGCCATTCAACCTATGCTATATGTCTTTGGACTGTGGGAGGAAGCCAGAGTACCCAGAGAGAACCCACGCAGGCACAAGGAGAACATGCAAACTCTACACAGAAAGGCATCAGGTAGTGTTTTGCTCACAGTTCAATTAATTACTTTTTTTTTTTTGCTTGCTGTATAATTTAAATAAATTAGGTCTAGATATTCATTCATGTAAGCACATTCAGTGCACTGACTTTAGCTTGTGTAATCAATCACGATCACGTGCTTCACTATGTTGAAGTACCTTGGCCACTTCATCTGTATATAAATTATTTTTGCAGCCTTTTATCTTAAAATGCTATGAAGTATGACTGGTATTAGTTCTCAACAAACTTGATGTAGATGATTTTGAGAGAAAAATTGCACTGCATTAATAAGGAGACAATGAGAATTCTACAAAGATAAGATATCAGATTTTGAAGCTGAGAAATCTTCTGCTCATTTTAAATTTGATGACAGCAGCATGTGTCAAAAACACTGGGACAGGGGCAGGTTTACCACCATGTTGCGTCAGCTCTTCTTTTATCAACTCTAAATATTTGGAACTGAGGAAACCCAGTGCTTTAGTTTTGAAAATGAAATGTTTTTCTATTTTTGCTTGTTATAAGATGTCAGCTGCTTAGTAGTCTCTTTTGTCATATTTTTTGCTTCATAAATGTGACAAATGTTTGTAATGGGTGACAGATCTGGACTGCAGGGAGGCCATGATCTTGTTACAGAGCATGCTGTTGTAATAGATGCAGAATATGATTTGGCATTGTCTTGCTGAAATAAGTAAAGCCTTTACTGAAAACACATCTGAATGACAGCCTGTTGCTCCAAAACCGGTATACGTGTGCTGGTTACTCATGGAGTGTGCACTAACACACCCCATGCCATCTCAGATGCTGGCGTTTGAACTGTGTGCTGATAACAAGCTGGAGGGTCCCCCTCCTCTTTAGTTTGGAAGATGCGATGTCCATGATTTCCAAAAAGAATTTCTAATTTTGGCTCATCAGGCCACAGAACAGTTTTCCGCTTTGTCTCAGTTCATCTTAAATGGGTTCAAGCCCAATGAAAGTGGCAGAGTGTCTGGATCCTGTTCATATGTTGTTTTTTTTGATGCAGCGATGAACCATGATCACTGACTGTAGTTTTCAGAGTTTCCTGAGCCCATGCAACAATTTCCACTATGGACTTGTGTTTGTTTTAATGCCAGAAGATCAAATATTTGCAGTTTTACATTGAGAAACATTCTTCTTAAATTGCCACATAGACAGGTAAACCTCACCCCATCCTTCTGAAACACAGCCTCTCTGGGAAGTTGCTTTTATGTCCAGTCAGTGTGCTGACTGGTTGCCAGTTAACCTACAGTAAGTAGTTGTAAGGTGTTTCTGAGTCTTTTGTTGCCATTGTCCCAACATTTTTGGAACATGTTGCTGGACTAAAATTCAGTATAAGCTTATATAAATCAAAATATATAATATTTTTTGGAAATGGGGTTGTATTACAAACATGCTAATTAAAAACGTCTACAAAAAATATCATGTAACCACTATACCACTATTTTTCACTAATGCACCTCAGTAATCTCCACTAATTTTGTTATCATGTAATTGTGATTTGTTATGATGTCTATTTCTGCCAGACCTCTACATAAGCAACACTGGCTCCTACATTACCCATAATGCAACTCAGTTGTGTCTTTCATTAGACTGTCTCTGCCTCCAACAGGCCAACTTCTCTCATAACAGCTTGATAATATGTCAGATTTTTTGTATTCAGCTGGCTTCGCTTCATCCGACTGACAAAATCAAACAAATAAAAAAGAACAAGAAAACAAGGGTTTTGCATTGCATCTTCTCAGTGCTACCACTGCTAAACTATTAATCTCTTTTTATTAGCTGGTAGACTGACATTTATGAAAACATACAAGCTACAGTCCTAATGTTACTAGCATAAGTGCGTGATGCTGTCACCCAGTGTCACATCCCTAAATGTATAACAGCAAAGGGTTCTTTTCGCCACATACAACATGAGAAAGCTACTCTGCTTATTATAAAGTCAAGTCAAAGTGTTTATTGTCATATGCACAGTACAGTGAAATTCTTACTTTGCCATCCACATGAATGCCACACAATACAAATGAAATATAAAGTAGATAAGTAACACAAAATCTAAGGCACTTTAAAGCAGCAAATGAAGAGATATAATAAAAATATAAAAGAATATAATATGTATTGTATGCTACATGGGAGCAGCATGTGTAGTAGTCAACAGTCAATGTGCAATTATGAATGTGCAAACTCAGACTGTAAACAGTACAGGTTGTCAGTACATGACGTATTTCCTGGTAATAAACTCCTCAGCTGTTTAGGAGTCAAATGGCAGAGGGAAGGAAAGAGTTTTTCAGTCTGGAGGTCCTGCATTTCACACTTCTGAACTTCCAGCCAGAGGTTAGGGAGGTGAACAGTCCATGCTGGGGGTGGGTGGGATCCTTGAGGATGGAGTGGTGTTAAGTGTCCAAGTGAGGTCCTCACTGATGTGGACGCCCAGGTATTTAAAGCTGCTCACCCTCTCCACAACACTGGCTGATGAGTTCTCCTCTCCTTCCTCATGTCCACTATCATCTCCTTCGTCTTGTCTGTGTTGAGGCTGAGATTATTGTCCTTGCACCATGACACCAGACTGGCCACCTCCCTCCTGTAGGCTGCTTCATCACAGGTACGTTGCATTATGGGAAATGTAGGACCTAGCGTCAAAGGTCAGGGTATCCCGACCTCTGTTTCTTTAATTTTACAAACCTGTTTCTTGTGAGTCATCCAACATTATGGAAGAGAAATAATAAATAATAAAAAATGTTTCTCAGAAATTCTATTGATATTATTGTATAGTCATGTTGCTTAATTACTTTTTCACTTTCATAGCCCACACATGATGCACAGAAAATGAAAAATCAAGATTACACTTATCTTCAGGTAAATTCATTTTCACCTAAGGTTCAATCACAGCAGGAAAGTGTTTTTACACAGTTCATTAAATTAACTTTTTGTCTCACAATCTTAAATTGAACTCTTTGTCAGTTTAAGGTTTTCTTAGCTGTCATTAGTCTCCACTCTTCCTTACATCCTGCT